TGTCATAAAACAATATGTGTACTACTGTTTCATGAGAAACTATTTGTTCTGTAAACCTTCACCTGAAGTACAATTTAAAAAAAATAAATACCATTAAAAAAAAAGTAGACATAGATTTTTCATATGCAGAGGAAATCAAGGCAATATAAAGAAATAAAAGACTGGTATAAACTTAGAAAAATGGGGGTAAATGTTAAGGTAACCCCAAAGGAAACTAACAATCCTACAAGTCAAAGTAAAAAACTAGAAAAATATAAAGACTCAGCAAACACAAAGTTAACAACAGTGAGAAAGATGAAAAGAAAATACATACAGAAAAACGACTTAGCACAGAAAATTAAGTGGGACAAAGAAACTATGAACAACACACACAAAAAGACATCAAAATGACAGCACTAAACTCATACTTATCGATAATTATGCTGAATGTAAATGGACTAAATGCACCAATAAAGAGACAGAGGGTGGCAGATTGGATTAAAAAAACACGATCTGTCTATATGCTGCCTACAAGAGACACACCTTAGACTTAAAGACACAAACTAAAACTCAAAGGATGGAAAAAAATACATCAAGCAAACAACACAAAAAAGAGCAGGAGTGGCAAGATTAATCTCTGACAAAATAGACTTTAAAATCCACCAGAAAGGATAAGGAAGGACACTATATAATGATTAAGGGGTCAATACACCAGGAGGACATAACTATAATAAATATTTATGCACCCAGCAACAGGGCTCCAAAATACATAAAATAAACTCCAACAGCACTGAAAAGAGAGAGAGACAGCACCACAGTAGTAGTAGGAGACTTCAGCACACCACTTTCATTGAAAGACAGAACATCCAGAAAGAAGCTCAGCAAACACATGGAAGAGCTAAATGCTACAATCAACCAACTCGATCTCACTTACTGAATGTTCCATCCAACAGCAGCCAAGTATACTTTCTTTTCCAACACACGTGGAACATTCTCCACAATAGACCACATATTAGGCCATAAAGCAAGCCTTAACAAAATCCAAAGCATCGAAATACTACAAAGCATCTTTTCTGACCACAAAGCCATAAAAGTAGAAATCAACAACAGAAGAAGCAAGGAAAAGAAATCAAATACATGGAAACTGAACAACATCTTGCTTAGAAACTACTGGTTTATAGAAGAAGTTAAGGAATTCATAGAATCAAATGGGAGTGAAAACACATCCTACCAGAACCTTTGGGACACAGCAAAAGCAGTGCTCAGAGGTCAGTTTATAGCAATAAATGCA